CAATTGCCATTATGGCCAATGAATTTAAACGGTTTTGAGACATAGTTGAACGAAGACAGTTTTTAATTAATTTCAATTCTCGGTGGCTAGTTCTTCCCCTTTGTGGTTCTGTATGAGAAGAAATTTAAGGAAACGTTCAGCCGAAGTGAAAATTCAATTGCACGAAGTGAAAATTCAACGATTACATTAAAAATGTTTCAAAAATGTTGTCTATGACACACTACAACGTATGTATTTAGCGGATCGGGGAATTCCCAAGTCATGCGACGAAAGAACCAGTACTGCCAACCTTATTTTTACATACTCTTTGGTAGCTTGGCCATAGAATATACATACCTATGGTAGGTACCAGAACAGTAAGTGTGCATTCACAACGTAGAATTTTGCGCGTTTTTCAAGCGTGTTGTGTTAAAAAAGCTGCTCTTGTTGTATAGTCATCTGATTAGTCGGCGTTAAAATTGTTTGCGATTATATTACTGCGTTATATATGAACTAACTACCATAATATTAATATCTAATTTGGAATGCGTTCAGAAATGTACTAAAATAGCGTCGATGTAATGTACAGAGCAAGACAATCGTCATTGAAATTTCGAACTAAATTTTTACTGTTTAAGAAACATTGTCAATTTTTTTTCTCTGTAGCACAGGGCCCCTGAACGTGGCGGGGCCCCTAGGCAGTTGCCTACAGTGCCTAATGGATAAAACGGCCCTGACTACCACTTCCTAAAATTTTGCCCATCTTTTTAAAATCACCCTGTATATATTGCAGTGATAACTTACGGCAAATAAAGTGATTGGATGAAAAGGATTTTCTGTCAGTTCTTTTTTACTTTCATGATTATATTTAAAAACATTTTTCAACTAAGATTAACTTCGTGATTTCTTCCACGAAGTCACAAGTAAATAAATGACTTAAATTTTTCTTGGGTTTCTTTTTGCCATATGTTTAAATAATATTTACTAATACTGTTATTTTAATAGTTAATATAAGATTTCAGTTTTTTCGCATAAACTAGCTACGCTACTTAAAATTGCATACATAGTTCAATGAAGCACGCAATTCTATGAAACAATAGTTTCAATTGTTAATTAAAGTTAATTCATGGTTTATATTTTACCATTTATTCAATCTGAACAGAATTATGACTTTAGTGAACAGTTGAACGAAATAAAACTTTTAACACCATGATGGTTTGGAGCTACGAAGCTGCTTCACAAGGCGTTTTTTCTTTTCTTTCTTTAATATCAATGGCAGCTTTTGTGAAGACGAAAAAAACAAATGTCAGATTCAACTGGCTTCCTGTAACGTAGCCAAAAGTAGCAATGCTTTACGTAACGCGAGCGAAAATATTTAAATTCATATTTCCATTAAATGATTATAATTACTTAATATTCAAAGACTTACGTTTCAGTTCATGACAACGTTCTTTTTTCAAAGGAGCATCTTCGTCTAATATTTAGAATGAGCAAGCAAGAGTTAAAAAAACAAACAGCCAGCCATCTTCGCCCACCTCCTCCTCACGTTGGCATGTTTTCTTGAAGAGATTTTACACGTCTATTATAAGACTGAAATAAATCAGAGCTTTCAGAAGAAAAATAAAAGCAGTCCAGCGGAATGTCTAAAAAAAATTATATGTTTAATTGAGAAGGTAGTTATCAGCTGCTTACGAGTGACTAGAATTACAGATGAATTATCGTTTTTGTTTGTTCAGAGTTTCTTTTTTCTATTACTCATATATGACAGGGCGTTTCTAGAAATAGCGTCATTTCGGCGCCACTGCTTTATAAAAGATAGCTAAAATATGTATTCCTGTAAATAAATATATCACTATAAATTCTTAATATTTGTAATATAATGTTCTAAAACCACTTGAAATCACATAGAAGAGAATGATTTTCTCTTTTCACTTTTTGTTTTCAACTGCTTTATTTCGTTCTAAGTTATAAATTTTTTTTCTTTTACAAAAATGCAGTGATTCGATTTCAGATAAGTCTTCATTTTTTAGAAAATTGTTATTATTTTTAAATAAAAGGCGGATTTTATTATTTTAATATTTGAAGAAATGTTTTAGTTGGGATGCAAACTGTATAATTTTTCTGGCTTTTTTTTAATTAAAAGAAAAGTCAGAACGCATTAAATTTATCTATTTGATCGAATGAGTAGTAGTATTTATTAATAAATGAAAGCTTTGCAGCACTTTCGTTGCTTGATCTGCTCAGCAGAAAACTACAGCAACAATTAAATGCGTTTTTAGTAAAACATGTTTAATATCTAAACATAAAATAAATTATGCTAATTTTCAGTGTTTACACATTTAAAAAAAAAAGTAAGCATTGGATCCCAAACCTTATGATTACTTTAAAACTGCCTTTACCAGGATTGATTGTGAGCCCAAGTCAAAATTCCGAAAAATTTCTTAAGTTAAAAAAAAAAAACAGTTTAAATTGAAAAAAATTTAAACAATGTTTTTTTCTTTTTTCTCAACATTTCTTAGTTTACTTAAAATATATTTAAAATTTTACACATACCTATGATGACCTGGGGAAGTAATTAAAATTTACAAATATGTCTTTCTTTCTTGAGTTAATGACTATAATAACTATTTACTGATAAAAAATGAATATTAATCATGAATATAAGCTTATTAAGTATCTCACTGGATCTTCCTTACAAACAAATAAAATAAACTGTGTTTTTAAGTTCCACCTTTGAAAATTCGATTTCCGGAAACTTCTGTGATCAATGATTATTTTTAAACGTCTGGACCTTTGATCTCCGGAAACTTCCGGATCACTGTTAGCAAAAAATCCGGATTTTTTAAAGAGCACAATCAGCCTTGCTTTACTTTTCGCTGTGAAATTGAAACTTTATTGAAATATATACCCAGTTTAAAATTATATAGTTATTGAAATTTATGGACAGTTTCTTGCAACACATTGACATTATAGTCCCTTCATCTTTTAATTAATTAATAATTGTTTAATTTTAAATTTAAACAATTTGAGAATTTTTATCAAGTTGATATTTCACCCTTCACTTATATTTTTACTTCATACTCCTTAAAAATTAGTGGCTGAGGGAGATTGGTGGCAACAGGACATAATAAATATTTAAAATATGTTGCAAAAAAAAAAAAAAAAAAAAAAAAAANAAAGCAAAAAAAAAAAAAAGAACATAGAATACATTCAAAAACTTGGCAAACCTTTTAAGAATATATAATTTACTATATACCCAAGCAGGAAGATTTTTAAAAATTAAATATTACCACAACAACATGTAAAATTTTAATTCAGATTTGATTACTGAATAAAAATAAATGCAACCAAATTTAAAGCTGTATATTCAGTTAGGCGAAATGTATGATAATTATTAAATGAAGATGCAATTAATTTATAAGAAATGCTTTATAAATCCTAAATATAAGAACAAAGTGATAGATGTTAAATAAATAGTACAAGCAAACCAATCAAGAATTTTACATTTGTAAAGTGATGAACGTAATGCGAGCTAAATAATTAATGTTTTCGAAGTGAAAATATCGTTATAAAGCTAAAAGAAATTAGTAACACATTAGTAATAATTTAGTGTCTTAGATAACAGGATTATAAAAAGTGTTAATTTAATTTTATAAACTTAGTAAGCATTATTTCGTAACAATATCTATGTTATTTTTAAGTAGTTCAATTTAGTTAAGTATTCTTTAATATGTAAAGTAATTTTTTAGCTGTGGGCAGATCCAATTGCTAGTTAATGTTTATACCTGCTTATTAGTCAAAAGAAAATAATTGTAAGAGCACCTAACTTGATTATAATTTATAATGAAAAAAAAAATTGCCAGTTACTTCACTAAAAACCAGATATATTTCATACGAAAAAAAGTGTGAAATATTTCAATTTTCAGATAGAGTAACAAAATCAGTAATCAAATTACAAGTTTAATAAAAAACTTTTTCTTTTCAGAAAATTTAACAAATTATTATAACTTTTCATTTATTTATGTACACAAGAATAAAAGATAAAAACTGGTAATAGATATAGTATTAGTTTACTAAAATAAATAAATAACATCAACATATTTTTATATACAATGCTTTTTTCCCCCAATTGGAAAAATGTTACATTCATAAAAAAAAAATGCACAGCATTTAACAAATAAATTATTTTGGTTCGTATCGTAAAACAAATTAAATTGAGCATAAGGAAGTATTTTCTATGTCATCATATAAATCTTCAAAGGTCCATTCTGGGACATTATCTTCTGAATGAAAAGTTTCCTTCGTCTCAGAAAACTGACTTTTCATTTGCTTCACAGAATATGGGTCGTAAAAATCAAATCCCTCTCCAAATATCATGTTTTCAATTAAGTTGAAATCCATTTCATTTTCTAAACACAGAGACTCTTTTTCAGGTAACTGAAAATAACAAAACTTGGTCAAAAATCGTATTACAGTTTTTGGTCATAAAACCAATTGCATTAATAAATCAAAAATTAAATTAAATAATAAAAAAACAAAACAGAATCTTTATGCACAGTTAGGTCAAATAATTACAATAATTTTGTGCAAAAAGATGAAAATTTAATTTGTGAAATGTAGATTACATTACTTTACATTATAAATTTTTAAACATTTTTTAAATTATTTTCTTAATCAATAGAGACATGTGAAGGAACCAACAATGGATGAGTTCTTTCAGTTAATATTCCTTTGTACTGCACTGACTACATTTTTTCAATTTCTACTTGTTTAATACATATTATATTCATTAGAATTTCGTGAATTTTAAAAAGAAATTGATTTTACAAATAAGTTTGAAGTTTCAATGTCATAGTTTCATTTTACATGGCTTACATCAGTAAAAACATATCTGAATTTAACACTCTAATTCCAAGTAGTGATTTCAATACAAATTCAGTAGATAATATTTTAAAGAGCACTAGCAAATATAAAGTTCAGCTGTACATTTTGAAGGGAAGAAATGTTAAAGAAATATCCATATAAAAATAGAGTTTAAAAAAAAAAACATTTTAAATTTAAAACAAATCAAATCACTATTTGTTATAATTGAGAATTTTTTAATCTTTATAACAAAATCTTTAATTTTTAATCTTTATAACAAAATTTTTTTTTAACATTATAACAAAATAAAATATTAATAGGTTACAGCAAATGTTTGAGGATCTATGATTCAAAATGAATAAAATTTTAGAAATTATTAATGCTAATACATCATAATTTGACAATCTGTGGGGGAATTATTAAGTTAAATACTAAATTATCCTTATATTAAATCCGTATTTATTATTAAATATTTCTAGGTTACAGCAAAAGTTGGATGCTTTATGACTCAGAGAGATAATTTATCAAAAATTATTATGGTATATATACACAGAGTGATTTGACTATCTACAGAAGTAATATTTTAAAATAATTATTTTGTGTTGAATTTAAATCCTTATTCAAAATTAAAAATAAATTCTCCATCATTATTAAAGTAAAGAATGCTAAATGAACAAAAATGCCCATAAGCTTTCTTCATTTTTTAAAGATGTTTTTTCAAAAATGAGCAATTTTCATAATTGCTGAATTTTACTTCGAACATCCTGAACTTCGTACACATAATACTGAAAGAATATATTTTATAAGAAATACCTGAAGATATGTTTTTCTTTTAACACAGAAAGATTACTTTGTAGATACACAGTAAATGTATATCATATGCATTCCAATTAAAATTATATACATAGAAAACGTTGCAGATGAATCCACCAGAACGTTTTGGCTACTTTAGGACAAAAGTAAGATTTTATAAAATAATTTAAAATCTGTTATTGTTGTAGGAAATCCTGTTTGAATAGCAACTCTCACTTTTGATAAAAGAAAAGAATTGCATGAGTGAAAAGTCCATTCAAAGTTCTCAAATGACTCTTTAATTGCAATGAGATAAAATTGATTCTAAACATATTAGAATAAAATTATTTCTAAATATATACTTTTCTTCCATATTAGATGAGTCAACGGACAGCAAGGAGTATGAAAGAACATCCATGCCTTGTTCAGGATTCAAACCCCTAGAACTTCTCTAATGTTAAATTAAATAATAGTAATCGCTTTAAGTTCGCCATAACTTAACAGTCCTTTACCAAAAGCTAAAGTTTCATTGGTGATGGAGAGAAACGGTGCATGATAAATTTTTAAAGCAAGTGTAAAGAAAGTCTTTGGTTATCATAATAGGTTGTTTGATTACTGTGGTCACTAAAAAGATCCATTTGCCCAATATCTGACTGCAAGGAAGTGACTAAAGTCAAATTCCTGGGAGTCTTGAGCAAAGTTTCTTTTCTTAAAGATGGATGGGTTTTCAATGTGGGTGGTGTAACAGACATCCTATTCAAAATTATAGAAAAAAATGTCTCCCTAGAAACAAAAGAAGGTGAAAAATTCATAAGAGGAAGGAAAATGAACACAGGATCCAGCAACATATTTCATTTCATCTGTAACAAAATTGTTTATTAGCTGGATTTTTTAACCTAAAAACTTTTTTCTAAAAAAAAAATTGATTTTTTTTTTTTTTACCATTTAAAGGATAAAAATTAAAATCTTTTGGCTATTTTAAGACAAATTTCGGGGCAGAATTGAAATATTTTCAGAGCAATGCATAAATGAATGATAATTATTTTTCCATATAATGAGCAGGGACCTTTGAAAACCGTCATATAAATGTGCATAAAAGAGGTGGTGCATAAGTAAGAGGTCATTGTATTGTAGAAACAGCAGTACAAGTTACAGTAAAAGCATTCTGTACAATCCACAAGTTTAAAAAAAAAAAAAAAAANAAAAAAAAACAAAAAAAAAAAAAAAAAAAAAAACTACCATACACATATATATAAATATACATACAGGCAAATTTTTTTATTAGCAAGGACTATTTTTATGGACTAGTTATGGAATAGCAAGGACTAGTAATGCAATAGAAAATAATACAACTTTGTTTAATTTTACTGAAATATTGGGCACTAGCATCAATTTTTTTTGGTACTAAAGATGAACAGAATTTGTGCACCTTGTCAAACTCATTAATAGCTAGATTATATAGACCAAGATACATTAAATCCTGGAACTCGTTAAAACTAAGCCAAAATTATGTGTAGAGATGAACTGGAAAGAAAAAAAAAAATTCCGCCTGACTGTTCATTTTGTGAAAACTGACAACTTTTGCTTTAAAACAAGCTAATCAATTTTTGAACACACAATCTTAGAATAGCTACAAAAACCCTGTACAGTATTCTTTGTTTTAAATTTTACAAAGCACCCATCAGTCAATACTGTCTTGTTCTGTTTTTAAAAGCTTTTTATACCTCTTCTTTTCCCCGCTTTTGAAGATTTTTGACAACATAAAAGTTTCTGAAAAATAAAACCAAAACTTTTATAGATTTATATTATAGAAGACTTGCTCTTAGCTCTTAGTCTTGCATAAAAGGAATGTGCATGCATAGAAAAGAACAGGGTGGCCACTCAAAACAGATTTCAAATTTCCCTAATTTTTCCAGGTTTTTCAGGTAAAAATCTTAAAATTTCCAGGTTTGCGTTTTTTTCCTTTTTTCTTATAAAGTGTAGGATGTGTACAAGAAAAGTGTCTGCATTATAAAATATCTTATTCAAAATGTAATTTTTTTAAACATATCTTGAAAAAAAATTTATTTTTTTTAAAATTATTTTTTAATGTTCTGGTACAACATTAATTTTTAAAAAATTAAGACGTGGAGAAAATAATATGTTCAGCTTGCAGAATATATTGCTTTTATTGAATAATTTTAATTGTTTTTATTGAATTTAATGTGTCACTTTAAGTACTAGTATTTGCTCAAAGTGTACCTACAAAATGACAAAATCAGAATAAACAATAAAACCTTGGATAAGTATTGTTTAATATATTTTCATTAAGGAAAAGAAAACCGTTTCAGGTGATTATTCATCAATAATTTTTAATAATTACAGTGGCTCCAAAAAGTGCTCACTCACTTATAACTTATATTGAAGTAAGAAATAAAAATTCAATAATTAAAATGAATATTTCACAATGGGTATTTGATAATAAGATGTATAATCTATTCTTAGCAAAGCTGCTTGGAATATTTTAAAAACAAAGCAAAAGTTAATTTTTTAATCAAATAGTAACAAAAATGTTACCCCACGAAAGTCATCGCACATTTAAATGTTTTGGATCTCAGAATTAAAATTATCGTCAATTGCTTTTTTTATTTAATTATTTTTCATTTAATTTTTTATTTCTTTATTAGCAATTTAGTATCAAACCTATAATAGCAAAATTATATTTTAATTTTTGCTTGCTAACTACGTAGTCCACAAATCGTTAGTTGCAGCACTTCTCAATTTCTTTAGCAAAACTTCCTTTTTGAGGAAGTTGTTAATTTCTATTTTGGTAAATCGAGGCTAAAAATATTTAATATTTGAATTTGTAGTTCATGATTCAAATGTGGATTAACAGCATGTTTTCTGGCATTGATTACCAATAAGTGAAATATCAAGGTCTTTGATTTACGTACACAGTTAGGTAACCTCGTCAATTTTTATACACAGTTAGCGTATTTTTAGCAAGCAAAGGTAGTAGTTAATTGTGGCAAAAGTTTTACAAACATTGTAAACAAGGAGAAATCACTTTAATTTGAAACGGAAAATAATGCACAGAATTTGGTAGCCAAGAGAAATAAAATTTATAGAACTGAAAGACATGTGGGGTCATTACATGACACAAGTAACTGATAAAATGTCTATTGGGGGAGGAAAAATGCAAGAAATTCCTTTAATTATTAACAAAAGAGAGATAAGGATGGAAAATTAATAAAAAGGGATGAACAGGTGTCTAGTTTTTTAGAAATCAGAACTTGGGATCGTAAAACGACCCACTCACGTCTTCCCAGTAGGACAGGGCTATAAATCGATGCATAGTGACATATCGATTTAACACATATATCAGCAAGCCAATACAGCAACTTTCGTTTCAGGCGATGCATCAGAAATCTGATGCATCGGATTTTTGATGGATCAGAAATCTGATTTAAGCCGTAGACTAAAGACGACTAGCGCAAAACGGTATCGATATAAGATGCGAAAGGATCTTCTTGCAACTGATACCGAAACGCGTTGTGGAAGACAATGTTCGTTTCGTTATGTTGAAATGGCCCTGATTGATGATTGGTAGAATCTCGACCATAATTTTGAGAATATATATCACGATCTTGCATGTTTGTTTTCGCGCCTCATCGTTTATTTCTTTTTCTTTGTCGTGACTTGATATCGTTTCTTGTAAATTATTTTCAGTGGGACTGACTTTGTGATCGCCGTCATTACCTAGTTATGAATGTAATCTATTATTGAAAAGAATATATATAAGTGTTTCTTAATTAGGTAAATTTTTTTTTAAAACAAAACTTTTTTTTATATTTTTAAATGTGAAAATTAATTTTGATATTATATGTTTAAGTAATTTTTTTACATTATTGAATTTATTACAATCGGAAATCTAGTTTAAGGTGCCCATAAAGAATTAAATTATAAAGTAATTAAATTTGTTAGGCTATTTTTTACTTTATTTTAAATTATGAAAAACTTTTTGGATAAAACTTCTAATAATTTAATGCGTTTTTATTACTGATTTTAAATTTATAAATCTTTAGTTGTTTTTATTTTTATAAATAAAATTATAACAAAACATATTTTTCCTCTTTTGGATTTGGACATAAGTCAATCAACTTTGTTTATTCCAAAAAATTAGTAAGGTTTGCGACTTCTTTCTTTTAATAATTTAGCACTTCATTTTATTAAAGAGTATAATCGTGTTTTTAATTTTCTTTCAATATTGTCAGTTTAATATACTATTGAATATCATAATTCTTTTGTTTTTATTTTTATTATTACTTTGTTTTTTCATTCAGAATTCAATAATTATTCAATTTAACTTAATTATTTATGTGAAATAATAATGATAAAAAATAGTGTTGTTTTAAAAGCGTTTTTTTTTTTAAAAAAATTTATCTAGCACTTTGATTTAAGCATACAAATAATTTTTAACAAACTTATTTTTTAAATTTTCTTTCTATATTGTTAGGTAAATATATTGATAAATTTCTATTTTATTTATTTTCTTATCATTTATTTTTAAACTAAGAAATCTTTCATTATTTGTGTGATCATTTTTAGAAAATATAACATTAATATCTTTCTTAAGCAAAACATATATATCTTCAAATTCATAAATTGATTTGAATCAATCTGAGTATGAAGTTTTGATAGAAATCCAACTTTCTGTGCCTTACCAGTAAATGAAATTTAAAAAAAACTATCGTGATACATCGCCATATTGCGATGCAAAACTGACGATGCATCACGATATAAAATTTCTTATATCGCCCAGTCCTACTTCCCAGCATAATTAGATGGCGAAGATATTAATATTCTATAGACTCATGAAAAATACTATAATTCTTACTTTTACAGCTACCTCAGGGAAGCAATAGGAGTAGTGATTTGTCTGCTGCTTTTCATTACAATGTGTTGAATTTTCAACATCAATAAGCTGAGGAAATTTGGAATCCGCAAACTAAAAGAAAAATGCAACTTTTAAATTCTGAAAATTTGTATTAAACACAAATTTTTAAACATTGTTGAAAACTGAAATCAAACATGTTTCAAAAATTAAAGATTCAGTGTCACAATATATGAAAACATTATTTAACACATTATACTATGTAGCTTAAACTAACAAATTTAGTATTATTAAAGAACTAGAAAAACTCTTAGCAAAATACAATGCTTTTGTTATTTTTACTTATTTTTTTCAATAATTTTAAATTAATTTATGTAATTGCATTTATGTAACTTCTAAAACAATTCACTTTTTTTTTTCTTCTATAGATCCTGATATTATGTATTAATACTGACTTACTCTTTTGCTCTACAGTCCATGAAGGATCTTGGTCTCCTTTATCACAAAGTTTTATTTTTTCTTATCCTTTATCTTTGAATTTTTGATTTGCATCTTTTCCTCTTCATCTTTAGATTTTCTTTGCAGTTCTTTCATCACTCCAAATGTTTAAGATCTTCCATTCTTTTTATCATATTCACCATATCTTTTCTTTATAGAGTTTACTGAACTCTCCACAAGTTTTCCTCTTTGATTGGTTAGTATATTTTCTTAGGAATGTCTCTCTCAAAAGTAATAAGTATTGATTTCTCATTTTGAACGGTAGTACAACTTTCTTGCTGCATGACAATGGGTCTAATTATTGTTATAAATAATTTTAGTTTTAACTTTCTTGAGAGTAAAAAAGGATTCAAACAATTTAAGCATTAAAAACCTATTACCAGCAGTCAGTCTAGTCTTTATCTCTGGGTTTAAATCATTTTTTTAGCGATAATTGAATCCTTCTACCACCTTTTCAAAACTAAGTTCAGTATTTATTGAACTTCGGCTTTCTCTGATCATGACAATATATTTAGTTTTTTCCCTTTGCCTTCTTTTCTAAATTCTTATAGCTTTCAACTAGATATTTTTCCGTTCTACACATCAAGTCTACATCATTTGCAAATTTTGCAAGGATCGGTTTATTGCACCCTCTCTTTTAGAAATAAATTTTTCTTATTATGTGTTCAAAATAAAAGTTAAAAAGTGTTGTAGACAATACGTCAACCAGTATTGTACTTTAGCTTAGGTGGTTAACAAAGTTATTTTAACAAGTCTTATTATTTTTTTCGTATTTCAAAATCATTCAAGATACGGCACAGTTTCTCTCTATACAATTATACGTTTGCTTAAAATCTATAAAAAGTTGGAATAGTTTGATGTTTTGTTCAAAAAGTTTTTCTAGAGCATTCCTAATACAAAAAATCAGATCAGCGGTACGTCCCCCAGTTCAAAAACCGCAGTTGCCTTTGTTTCTTCATCACTACAGATTCGGTATAATTTGAGATTGCACAAAGATTTTTTTTTTCTTTTCTTAAAAAAAAGGGAAAAAAATAAAGAAGCACATTAAGTGGTTTGAAGTACCACTTTAGAGTGAATATTTTTCTGTCCCCCATTTTTTCATTTTTTTAATAAGTTTTATTAAGAAAAAAAACATGAAAATATGTACATATAAACAAGCATAAAATTATTTAAAAAAAAAAAAATGAAAATAAACAATGCATATGATAAATTTAATAAACATAAGTAATTCATTTAATAGTTAAATAATTCATTAAAATGCTTATCTTATGCATTAGAAAAGATTTTTTACAAGCGGGTTTATTTTACCTCATCAAATATAAGAAAAATATTCGGCTATAATGTTGATTCTGTATAGACATAACCTATTTTACATTTTTGACACATCAGCAGAAACAGGTTTATCCTTTTTTTATTTCTTGAAATTTCAAACTACATCATTTCCCAAGTGAAAAGTTTGACATATTTGTCAGCAAATGATTGAACAATTTACTCTAATCCCTAACAAATTAATAGAAGTCATTTTTTATAAGAAAGCATATAATCTCTAGAAAGTTACCAACTGTGACTATAAAGATTCTTATAAAGTATAAAATGAACAGGTTAAATAAAATTTCATGAAGAATTGAATAAAAATATATTTTTACACCAGTAAGTGTAGCAGTTAATTAAAAGAAATATGCTTAAAAAATTGAAATTTCAGATTTAAAATACCTGTTCATAAACTCTCCCAAAAGAGCGATGAGGACGGACAGAACCCACTTCTTCTTCAGAGAAGTGTTAACAAACAAAGCATGATTGAGGGCCTCTTCCATTCCTCCTATTAACATTCTTTCTTTGAGAATGGCATTCTCCTCTTCTAGTTTCGATTGTCGCACCTCCAATTCATTATTAAGCAAACGAATTTTCATTTGCTAACAGAAATAAAATCATCTTCATGTAAGCCAATTATTTTCATAATTAAAGAGAAAAACAAACCTAATTTACTAAAAGGCAGAGGATTAAACAAAATAGGAAAATCTCAGTAACTCTGAGTTATTTAAAATTCAATCCTAATTGAAAATTCAATAAAATATGTTATTCTAAATGAAAATAGGTACAAATAATTATTGTACATTTCTTTCTTCCAAAATTTTTGTGAGCATGCTTAGATAAGTAATAAATTCAGCAGTGATAGCTTTCTTCGTCCTTTTACCGAAAATAGATATTTTAACTTCAAAAACCTCTGTTTTATAAAAGGTCCTAACAAAAGACAAGCAAACAGCTATGAAGTTTGAGTAAAAACAAGAAACCTTTAAGAATATAAAACTCAGAAGATACAATTGTACACATTCAAAAAATTTTTTCATAGCAATTAGCTTTGCTGAGGATCAAAAATTATCAAAGTTAATCTTGTTATAGAAGTTTGAATAAAGGATGTTTGACTACATTTGAAAACAACACATTTAAACTGACTGTCTTTATTCTTAAATCATTATTAATTTATCAATCATTAAAAAATTTAAAACCTGAAAGGAGAAATAATTTATTTAATATAAATTAAAATATTTTATCAAATGAAAATTTATTAAAAATTAAAAGTGCAGAAACAATACTTCACAAAAATTGAAGAATATGAGTTAGACATCATATTACGAGAGATGGCAATTCAACCTTCACTTAAGTAGCCAGAGTGAAAATATCACTTTCATAAAACATAATAACCTGAGTAAAAAGGAGTTTGTCAAGAAATACCAATCCGAATGATATACAGTATATAGATCTTTGACAGAAGCAATGACTGCACCTGTGACATTTCTTAGTTAACAAAAATAATAATTTCAATAATGGAGAATATGATGACCTACATTACAACTTATGCAACACGCATTCCTAATAAAAACTGCTCTTGTCTAAATGCATATATCCTTCGATTATATCCAAATGCATCATACAATGATAATATTCAAATTTATAATACAAATACATTGACTTTTTTAAAATTCAATTGCTCGAGAACTATTCGGCCGATTACGTTTCAATTTTGTATTTTGATATTGACAATTACATTCTTTAGAATGTTTAAATTTGTATCGTGTTACATAAATATTTGTAGTGTATTAAATAAATGTAAAGTAAAAAATTGCTAAAATCTTTTTTTTCAATGGAATTACCTATGAATTTCATAATAGTGCCCTGTTTTTTTTTTTTTTTATTTGCATGAAAAGTTCTCAAGGTATGGCGAAATATGTAAAAAGTTTGGCTAACATTAAGGGGTTTCTGTGTCTGGTTTTGTTACTTAAAATATCGTCTGCACTAAGGAATCAGGTTGGGCCATCCATTAAGATTGAGTCTTAGTAGCTAAAGAAGAGCAAAAATTATTCAGGGTGCTTCCTTTTTTTGTGTGTAGAATATATAACATTATAATGCAATGAGGCTAAATTTAAAGCTAGTTACATTATCTAAGGAAAATAAATAGCATTAAGGAATGTTATAAAAATGCAGTGAATATTTCAAAAGCTAGACATTTTTACCTCGATTTGCAATTCTAGTAGTTGCTTCTCTAATAAATCCTTTTTAATTTTAGCTTTCTCTCTAGAGACTTGTGATGATATTCTATTTTTCAGAACTCTGTTGCGTTTTTTCCTGTAATTAAATTTATAAATAATTGTAAATATTTTGACAGAAAAGATATGCTTAAAATAGAAAGCATCAACCTACCAACTATTATCCATGTCATTCTTCCCATTTTGTTTTGAATTCACAACTATTCGTTTTAAGTTCGAGTGGTTCGTATCAGAATCTTTGAAACTTGTAGTCGTATTATTACTAGCGTATGGATTGAAACTAGATTGTAGACGAGCTAAACTAAACGGCACTGCCGTCACTACAAGCAGTCTTGGTACAGACATGATTTATGAATAACTTTCTTCATCAAATAAATAATACACTGGAATTATTTATTCATAAGTAGAATAAAAGAGTTGTAACAACTCTTCACAAACTGAGACTTTCTAAACGTTGACCTTTAATGTAAACAACAATGTTTAACATGCAGTTCGTAAAACGTTTCATTTATTGCAAGAAAGCCGTTTATCCAAACCGATTCGTTCGTATAGTAACCAACATCTCATACTGAATCTTTTCTTTTAGAGGAAAGAACTCACAAGTTTTTTTCAACTCTGGCTGCCTCTGCTCCTTCTGGGATGATGAAATCAGGTGTATTGTTTGGCGTCATTTTCTTGTGACGTCAGAGTGTGTTCACGCAATTTACAACTGATGCAACATATTTTGGAATTACATATTCAGACAGCTATTTTTTTCCTTTGAACTACTCTTTGTAAATATTTCTCTTTCCACTTTTTTTCTGTAATCAGTTTTCATTGCTAATTTACTTATACTAATATTTTAAGGAATCAAAAAATCTCAGAAAAGAATCGGGTAGAAGAAATGAAAACATGCGTGAAGAAAGGATAAGACTGTATAAATTTCATCATTCAGATCCGTAAAGAGGAGGGAGCATTTTAACATGTTGCTTGTAGACTTATTTTTTTAAAAGTACAAATGAAATTAAACTTATTCTATCAAAAATTAGCTGTTAAAAATTTTGAAATCCAAATACTCCATAAAAGAGGCACAAGATCCTTCCAGTACGTACTGGAAGGATCCCCTTATGAAAAAATCGAGGTATAAACAGGGCCTGATTACCGAAAAGGCACAGGAAGCAAGTGCTTTCCCTGTAAAATTCTAGGGGGGCCCCCAAATGACTGAAATTAAGGGCCCAATTTCTTATTTTTTGCAAAAGCAGAAAATAATAATTAAGGAAGTAAGAAAAAAATTGGCGTTAAAAAAAGAGACCTATCTTGCAAAGAACCTTTCGTATAACAAC